ACCGGAAAGAACCTTTGATTGCGTGTAAAAATTCTGGCTGGGCTTTATACCACTGTCCTTTTTCACTGCAGCGAGGCCTCACCATCCGGAGCGTGCGCCGCTGTGAAAGAGCTTTTGTATCCGCTAATGCTGCACTGACGCCTGTCTGAGCTGAGTGACTCCCCGCCGGGGGGGGGGGGGAGGGCCTCGACGGCCAGGTAGCAGGTGGGCAGCAGTCCTCCTCGGCCCATCCGGGGTCCACCGCGCGCCGGTTCCCCAGTTTGTATTTTGGGCGTGCCCATCTGACCGTGTTTGATACACTCCCCGATACCCATCTACACGCCGGGGGCCGAGGCCTCGGTAGGTGGTGCGCGCCCGAGACGTGTGGCAGATGGCGCCTCAGTCGGACTGCTCACTCGTTGGAAGCGCATAGTCCTGCGCAGCTACGCCGCTGGGCCATCCGTCATCAAACTTGTGCGCCAAGTTGCGTCCCTCCGGCGCGGACCCCTCCCCGGGGAGCCTGCGGCTTCCGCACGCCAGCGCCCCGACCGCAACATCGCGATGGAGTCCGCACTAACACTCATCTCGTGTGTGTGAGAAACCAAAGAAAATAACCGAAATTCGCACACGCTTTGCGTTGTGAACATCACTCTGAACGCCGTGGTCGCCTAGATTGCCAACATTTTTGGACTCCTTTTCTACTGCGAAATTTTGGCATTCTTTTGGCCGTTGTGTGCCAAAATGTGACATCACTTCACTTTCAAAGAGGGCCCAGCTGTTGGACGCTCAGAAGGCCAAATTTTGGGAATAAGCAAAGAGGCTAAAATTTTGGCCATCTAGGAAACCACGGCGAATAGAGTGAGTACGCGGTGACCGCACATACATTGCCTCTCCACTCGGAGGAGCGCGCACGCTGTCGGCGCAGCGCCGCCGTGCCCCCGGGAGGACGCTCCGGCCGGCCGCTGAGCAGCCGTGCGATGCGTGCTGCCTACCGCCCGCTTCACAGGCGGCCGCGTCCACGCGCCGGGGCCAGCGCGCCGCCGTCGAGCCGCAGCTGGCGGGGATAAGGGAAGGTAATACAGGGGAAACCCAAGTGTGTGTGTGTAAATGTCACACACTTGTAGGAGTGGGCGCGATATTCGTGCACATGAATGCAGAAGTGTGCGAATTTCGTACAGAAAATTAACAGCTTTACTCCTTCAAGTGTACGAATAGGCATTCACACACCTACAAGTGTGCGATATTCACACACTGGCGTAGTGGATCGTCTCTAGGCCGCTGCTGGGGGAGCCGCCACGGACAACTGCACCGGCAACCAGTAAAAACAGACATAGACTTGAGAGGCCTCAAGGGACACTGTGAATAATAGTAGGAAGGTTCACAGAAAAATTTTCCTTGACGCAGTTTGTAAAATTGAAATTTTTATCGTTAAAATACATGGAGTACGTATCGACTTAAAATCCATTGGCGAGTAAAAAGTGTCAATTTCAACATAATTCGAGTTTACAAAAATTTTGTACATTTACGACGGTATTTTGCACAGTGGAAAAGCCGCGCAACTCGACAGATTCTCTGCCGGCACTTGAGCACGCGGCGGGAGAGGATCCTTTCTCCATGGGATCCTCCCGTCGAGGGGGGGGGGGAGCGGTTTGGAAAGCGAAGCGAGCGGTTCAATATGGGATGCGCGGCGAGTCTCCCTGTTCCAGCAGCCCATCCACACCACGACCGCGCGTCCCCCAAATCGCCTTGCATTAGGCCTCACTTAAATGAAATTGAACCCCGGCCAATTCCATGTCCCACATTTCTTACCCTCGTTACCCGCAAATTGCGCCGCGCCGCCGCAGCGCCCTGCTGCTGCAGAGGGGCGGGGGTGGAGGGGTGGAGATCGCGATAAAGGCTTCCGCAACGGCCGTGAGACGCGATGGACGCTCACACACACACACACGCACACACGCACACACACACACACACACACACACACACATGGGCATAGGGTCATGGGCTAGATTGGGACTGGGAGCCTCGCTGTACACAGGTATGCGCTCGGGTATGAGTCAAGCCACCAGATCCTCGGAGAAAAAAAGACGGGGGGTCTAGTCTGGGCCTACTCGCCGTGCCGTCGAGGGAGTGCTTCCCTGCGAGGGAGACGGCAAGGTGTGTCTGAGCAGCCCTGGAGCAGCCTGAGATTGCCAGGGCTCTGCGAGCGACGTCATGACGAGAGGTCCAGTACTTTTGAGCGACAGTATTACGTACGGTTATAGGTATGTTGAGTAAAATATCACATCTTTGCATATTTTGAGTCGGTTTGCAGACAGGATAGGCCCGCTCCTGGTTCTCGGTCGCCCTCCTCAGGTGAGGGGAAGGTGCGGGCGGAGGGCGGGAGCGGGGCACGCGGGGGAGGATCGCGTCGACGCGCGAAATCAAAATGTGGCGATGGTGTGCTGTTAAGATGAGAAAAAGGGGGGCGCCGTCGTCGTGTGACGGCGAAGAGACCAAGAGGGGCGAAAAAGGGGTCGAGCCGAGGGCGGTGCGGGGTGAGGAGGGCGGAGGGGGCAGAAAACAGATTATACGAAGGAAAGAGAGGCGAGGGTTGCCGGCAGAGATAAGCTCATATCAGTCCGGAGATTGGCTGCTGCTGGGACGGGGAAGAGGAGGAGAGGGGCCGGAGGGGAAGGGAAGGGAGGGGGTGGACAGACCCGAGAGAGAAAGGAGCGCGGGAGGGGAGGGGCCCAAAGGGTTAGCAGACGGCGGGCGAGGAGAAGGGGAGGGGTGGCGGAAGCGCCTGAAAACAAAGCGGACGAGGAGTTCGCTCGCCTGACCAACTCGCTCCAGGAGTGTCAGCCCGACAAGACTTT